TTGGCTACGATCCTCGATCTGTACTTGGCTACGATCCTCGATCTGTATTTGGCTACGATCCTCGATCCTCGATCCTCGATCGTCGATCTGTACTTGGGGAAGTAACTTGAGCAAACACAGCCATCAGGGTGGAACCTGCAGGCTACCCGAGGTTCCCCATATCGGTCCCCCACACCCCAGATCATGGTCCACTCAGCCAGGACCGATGTGCTCTTTCTCCCCCAGCACCATGCCCTCTTAAAGAACAGCGACGAGTGCTCTTCCCCCCCACCTTTTTTTTTTTTTTTCCTTTTTAAAGGTTTTTTTTTTTTTAAAGACTTTTATTTATTTATTTGACAGAGAGTACAAGTAGGCAGAGAGACAGGCAGAGAGAGAGGAAGGGAAGCAGTCTCCCTGCTGAGCAGAGAGCCCGATGCAGGACTCAATCCCAAAACCCAGAGATCATGACCCGAGCGCAAGGCAGTGGTTTAACCCACTGAGCCACCCAGGCGCTCCTTCAAGGGCTTTTAGAAGAGACACTTCTTGATGTTTTCTTGCCTGCGGTCGATCGGTAACAGGGGTGCCGCAGGCACCGCTTAATTCCCAACAGCAAATGGTCACAGGCGTGCTTAGACGTACGCCAAGATCTCAGGTAGGTTCCTCTCTTCAGATATTTGGACAAGGCCTTATCCCTTGCGGAAACCTTCTTGGACCCCCAGGGTGGGTATAAAGATTATTTTAAAAAGAAAACATTCGAGCTACAGAAGACGCAAAAAGAAATTTTATCTGAAGTTCTCTTAATCTGAAAGCGGACCCTCCCGAAGATACAGCTACCATTAACCCCCTTCAAAGGGAGCTTCCTGCTAATTCAGCTACCCAGAAGAGACAGACTGACCCATTCCATTAGCATCAGAAAGCCCAATAGAACCTTCTATACTTTCCCATTGAAGCCCTAAAATAAACTCTTTTATTAAATTGAGGTATATAAACTTTGGCTATTCCAGGACTTTTCCATTACTGGGAGCTCCCCCCAGCTCCCAAAGTGAAAATAAACCTCGTCCTTTTCCTGTTGATCTATTGTTAGTTAATTTGCAGATCCCCAACCATGGTATCCAAGTTGGAAGAGGAAAAAGGTTTTCCTCCCAACACTCTCCCAGGTAAAATAAATGGGTCATTGATCAGGTAGTTGGTTTTTTTTTTTTTTAATGATACATTTGGTTGTCAACTTAGAAATTCTTCAAAATGTGAGTGCGGGGGCGCCTGGGTGGCTCAGTGGGTTACAGCCTCTGCCTTCGGCTCAGGTCATGATCCCAGGATCCTGGGATCGAGCCCCGCATCGGGCTCTCTGCTCCGCGGGGAGCCTGCTTCCTCCCGTCTCTCTCTCTGCTTGCCTCTCTGCCTACCTGTGATCTGTCTGTTAAATAAATAAATAAAATCTTTAAAAAAAAAAATGTGAGTGCGGGGCTGGCTCAGTTGGAGGAACATACGACTTTCTTTTCTTTTTTTCTTTTAAGATTTTATTTATTTATTTGAGACAGAGAGAGCACAAGTGGGGAGGAGGGTCAGAGGGAGACGGAAAAGCAGACTCCTCACTGAGTAGGGAGCCCAATGGGGCCTTGGATCTTGTCCTGGAATCATGACCCGAGCCAAAGACAGATGCTTAACCAACTGAGCCACCAAGGTACCCCAAGCATGCAATTCTTTTTTTTTTTTAAACATATAATGTATTATTTGCTTCAGGGGTACAGGTCTGTGACTCATCAGTCTTACACAATTCACAGCACTCACCATAGCAAATACCATCCCCAGTGTCCATAACCCAGTCCCCCTATCTCTCCCCGCCACCCCCAGCAATCCTCAGTTTGTTTCGTGAGATTAAGAGTCTCTTATGATTTGTCTCCCTCCTGATCCCATCTTGTTTCATTTTTCCATCCCTACCCCCACAACCTACCTGCTCTGCCTCTCAAATTCCTCATATGAGGGAGATCATATGATAATTGTTTTCTCTGATTGACTTATTTCACTTAGCATAACACCCTGTAGTTCCACCCATGTCATTGTAAATGGCAGGATTTCGGGTTTTTTATGGCTGCATAGTATTCCATTGTGTGATTGAGATAGATAGATAGATAGATAGATAGAATAAATATATATATATATATATATATATATATATCACCTCTTTATCCATTCATCTGTTGATGGACATCTAGGTTCTTTCCATAGTTTGGCTATTGTGGACACTGCTGCTATAAACATTCAGGTGCACATGCTCCTTGGGATCACCGCATTTTTATCTTTAGGATAAATACCCAGTAGTATGATTGCTGGGTCGTAGGGTAACTCTATTTTCAACTTTTTGAAGAACCTCCATACTGTTTTCCAGAGTGGCTGCACCAGCTTGCATTCCCACCAACAGTGTAGGAGGGTTCCTCTTTCTCCACATCCTTGCCAACAGCTGTCATTTCTTGACTTGTTAATTTTAGCCATTCTGACTGGTGTGAGGTGGTATCTCACTGTGGTTTTGATTTGTATTTCCCTGGTGCCAAGTGATGTGGAGGACTTTTTCATGTGTCTGTTGGCCATTTGGATGTCTTCTTTGCAGAAATGTCTGTTCATGTCTTCTGCCCATTTCTTGATTGGATTATTTGTTCTTTGGGTGTTGAGTTTGATAAGTTCTTTTTAGATTCTGGATACTAGCCTTTTATCTGATATGTCATTTGCAAATATCTTCTCCCATTCTGTCGGTTGTCTTTTGGTTTTGTTGACTGTTTCCTTTGATGTGAAAAGCTTTTGATCTTGATGAAGTCCCAACAGTTCATTTTTGCCCTTATTTCCCTTGCCTTTGGTGATGTTTCTAGGAAGAAGTTGCTGCACCTGAGGTCAAAGAGGTTGTGCTGCCTGTGTTCTCCTCAAGGATTTTGATGAATTCCTGTCTCACATTGAGGTCTTTCATCCATTTAGTGTCTATTTTTGTGTGTGATGTAAGGAAATGGTCCAGTTTCATTCTTCTGCAAAGGGCTGTCCAATTTTCCCAACACCATTTGTTGAAGAGACTGTCTTTTTTCCATTAGATATTCTTTCCAGCTTTGTCAAAGATTAGTTGACTGTAGAGTTGAGGGTCTATTTCTGGGCTCTCTACTCTGTTCCATTGATCCATGTGTCTGTTTTTGTGCCAGTACCACACTGTCTTGATGATTACAGCTTTGCAATAGAGCTTGAAGTCTGGAATTGTGATGCCGCCAACTTTGGTTTTCTTTTTCAACATTCCTCTGGCTATTCGGGGTCTTTTCTGGTTCCATATAAATTTTAGGATTATTTGTTGCATTTCTTTGAAAAAAATTGATGGTATTTTGATAGGGATTGCATTAAATGTGTAGATTGCTTAAGGTAGCATAGACATTTTCACAATATTTGTTCTTCCGATCCATGAGCATGGAACATTTTTCCATTTCTTTGTGACTTCCTCAATTTCTTTCATGAGTACTTTATAGTTTTCTGAGTACAGATTCTTTGCCTCTTTGGTTAGGTTTATTCCTAGGTATCTTATGGTTTTGGGTGCAACTGTAAATGAAACTGAAACTGTTCACTTCTCTTTCTTCTGTCTCGTTGTTGGTCTGTAGAAATGCAACTGATTTCTGTGCATTGATTTTATATCCTGACACTTTACTGAATTTCTATATGAGTTCTAGCAGTTTTGAAGTAGAGTCTTTTGGGTTTTCCACATAAACTCTCATATTATCTGCAAAGAGCCAAGCACACAACTCTTGATCTCTGGTGGTGAGTTTGATTCCCACAATGGGTATAAAGATTACATAAATAAATAAAGTCTTAAAAAGAAGAAATTCTTGAAAATGATCAACAGAAACTCCGCTTGGTAATTCATGGTAGATGAACAGTGTCTCTCAAGAATAGAATACTTTGACATGAAAGTCAGCCAAACATGGGGCCCTCACAGGATAATCTGACTTTTTGTTCCCTCTAGCTATTACTTCCATAATTGCCTTTAATCCACTTGGCCTTATTTGTGTTCTTTTTTTTTTAAGATTTTTATTTATTTATTTATTTGATAGAGAAATCACAAGTGGGCAGAGAAACAGGTAGAGAGAGAGGGAGAAGCAGGCTCCCTGATGAGCAGAGAGCCCAAATCAGGGCTCTATCCCAGGACCTGAGATCATGACTTGCGCTGAAGGCAGAGGCTTAGCCCACTGAGCCACCCAGGTGCCCCCCTTATTTGTGTTCTAACAGGTTCCCAGGCCTGGGCTTTCATTATCAAATAAGTTCAACATAGCATTTTCCATGCGGTCCCTACATTAGGTAGTCGCTCTGAACATGCAGAAGTTAAATTATATATATATATATATACATATATGTATATATGTATATATATATATAAACTTTTATTTGGGAAGATGTGAAAATAGTAAAACATAAGGGAATCAGTGGTTAAATGTTGCAGTGGGTATATAGGAGAATGGAGAAGGGAGATTTTGGAAGAATGGAGAAGGAAGGTTTGGCTCAAATGTTTGGGAAGAGAGGTCTAAAATTTTCCTGAATTTGAATCCATGAAAAACAATATAAGGAATCGTGGGAAGGGACAAGGGAGACTTCTGGGGAAATTTTAAAATGCGTGCTGTCACAGTTTGGGT